GGTTTTCAACAAGCCACCAATAAAAGGCAACCAATTACCAGCAGAGACCCACAGAGACATTACAATTCCCATCATAACCAGTAAAACCATTACAAATTCTGTGATGCTTTCTATTGTTGTTTTTTTCCAGCAAGGAAAAATATTAAACAAAACGTAAATGGCTCATTTTAAATAATTTACAAGAAATAAACTTATTTATATATATATATATATAAAAACATGTGTGTGTATATATATATATATAGACAGTCAAATTTGTATATTATACATTAAAAATTATAATCAATATTGTGTATATATAATTATACAAAATTAATAATTTAAATTCTAAATACAGTGAAATCATATATATATATTTATTTTTTCTCAGAAAACTGTACATTTTACACAACTGTAATTTAAAACAAAACTTTTTGTCTTTATTATTTTCAAATCATTTGCAATACATATTACACAAAACTAGAGGGTGGTTGAAAGTTTCAGGCTTTCATAAAAACGTGTGTTTTCCATAAAAGTGTCTCTTGCTGAACCTGACAACTAGCACAAAACACACGAGAGCATGTCGTTTCCTTTCATCCCATCCATCCAACAACCACACCTCAATACAGAAACGTAAAAAACAGCATCCATGGGGAAGTTACCAACCACAGATAGTGTTTCAGCAGGAGAAAATATCTAGAATAAGTGCCTCCTCGGACAGTTTATGAACACATACAGACTGTACAGACACCAATGATGAATTAATAACTGAATAAGAAATTGAAATCATGTATTCCACACCTTCATATCTGCTGATGACCACAAAAAACATATGCAAACCAAAGCACGCATATCTGAGGTGTTTATTTCGGCCGTCTGTTGGGCTGGATGAGTGAGCATTATAAATCTTCAGTGAATATAAAGACTGAAGTCCCGCTGCGATGAGAGGCGTCAGGCTGCTGGAGTATCAGGACGTCTGACATCAAGAGCAAAACACTTCACTGTCATCAATGGAGCTTCTCCAGTTTGGTCTGAAGGCATTTAAAGTTGTGTATAATGTCCTGCAGGGCCACGTTTGGACTCAAGGACTGCAGCTCCACCAGATAACCGCAGATGTTATCCAGACAAGCGTTAGTAAACCTCCGTCTGCAATCAACCGCAGAAATGTGAATGTGAAAAATAATGAATAAAACATGTGGCAGGCATGACGGTTACCTGTCATAGGTGGGCACACGGCTGGGATCGTTCACATATCCTGACAGAAGCACATGGATGCAATCCACCAGGTGCAGCGGCTTCTTCAGGCGCTGCCAACACGGGTCCTGAGAGAAACAGAAGCTATTATTATCAACATTTCAGTATTTTTGGGTTTGTTTATTCCTGACACTGCTTACACTTCAGAATCTTGACTGTCAAGTTAGACGACAAGCCTTTTAACTTTTAGATACAGCAATAATAATAATAATAAATGAAAAACAATAAAATAAAATATAAACGAATATGAAATTTAGAAAAATAAGTAGTAAATAAAAACTAAAAACAACCACTGTTAAGCAAGAGTTATTACATAATTAAATTTTATATCATTATAAAACATAAGGAATATATAACTTCTGTTAAGCAATTCTTAAGCGTATTATGGACTAATAAATAAAAAAATTATTAACTAAACATAAGATAAGAAATGTAATAATTATAAATGAATAAGTAAATATTAAATTTATAAAAATAAAAATAAGTAAATAAAAATATAACTGTTTAGCTATCCTGATTATGATTAATAAATAAAAATAAATAAATAAATATGAAATATGAAATACTTCTTAAAAAATAAATACTTAAGAGTATTATAAATCAATAAATAAAACAAACAACGAAAAAGTTAAATAATAATAATAATAAATGCAAAATATTTTTGAGAAAATAAGCAAATAAAGCAATTCTTAAATAGTATTACGGGTTAATAAATTCTAAATGTATTAAATTAATAACAAATACGAATTCTTAATTTTTTTTTAAATAAGCAAATAAATGTATAATTACAAAATTCAATAATTTTAAAATATGTAAGTAAATAAATATATAACTTCCATTAATCAGTCCCTAAGAGGATAATGGACTAATAAATACATTTTATTTCCGTCACATGCTTGAGGTATTCGGCCAATCACAACGCACTGGATAGTTGGCCAATCAGAGCACACCTCGCTTTTCAGACCGATTAGTTTTGTAAAAATCGACGCGTTTCAAAAAGGCGGGGCATAGAGGAGAAACAATAATGTACAGTATGTGGAAAATAATGTGTTTTTTTAACTTTAAACCGCATAAACACATTTCATTACACCAAATACACAAAATAATGTTCTTTTTAGCAGCATCATATGACCCCTTTAACACCCCCTTTTCGCCACCTACTGGCGTAACAATGTAATCGATAAATTTTAATTTGAAGTGTAAAGGTGATTTACTCTATCGCTACCGTACACATCGTACAGTTTCTATCTGAACTATAAACTTTTATCCCAGCACTTCTGTGATTTGAATGTTTGTAACACAGAAATAATGATACTGTGTGGCTGAAGAGACTGTGAAGCGGTTTCATTCATGACAGACAGCTGCTCTCTTTAGGTCAGCGTCAGCACGAACGCAGATTTAATTGCTCAGATCACACTGATGTGATCGTACGCTGATCCACGTGATCACAACATTGATCGCACACGTCAAAGGTTGAGGAATGAAACAGACGAATTTGGTGGTGATTCAACATGTTTAGCCATCACAGATATGTGACCCTGGACCACAAAACCAGCCATAAGGGTCATAAGGGTCAATTGAGATGTATACATCTGAAAGCTGAATAAATAATCTTTCCATTGATGTATGGTTTGTTAGG